AAAATAGAATGTAAAAGGCAACATACAATAAGTAAAGTAATAAAACAGGGATCAAGGAGTATTAAAAGTGAGAAACAATAGAGAGGTCTTTAGAATGGATTTAAAGGTCCCATAAAATAAAAATAAAGTTTTTAGCTGTTAGTGTTATTATTGCTAGTTTTTAGCACATTTATAAGCTAGTGCACACCAACAGTGAAAAAATTCAATTTTGGAAGATATAAAGATGTGAAGTGTGCAGTTGGCCTCTTCCTCCTGAATGGATCCACAGTGTTATCCACGTCTCCTCATACTTCAGTTTCTTATTAAATCTCCTGACCAATCAAATGCTCTCTAGTGTCTGATATGCCCCGCCTCTTTATAGAAGCTTCTCATTTGCTTTTCATTTGATGTGTTTGAGCTCAGCCACTCTCAGTGGCACAGTAGTGATCAAACTAAACACTATTGGCTGTTTTTGTAAAGGGGAGGAGCTACTCTATGTCCCACCTAGGGTTGTCATGATACTGGAATTCGGTACCAGTCAGTAGGGCCAGACGGAATCTGCGGACGTTTTTTGCTGAATTATTTTGGGAGATTCATAACTAAAACTTTATTGTATGAAATAAAAAATAATACCTTTTTAACTTTTTATTTAATGCGCGGAGATCCCGTGTGGGCCTACCAATCAGTACCAAAATTTTTAAATTGTCCATTTCCCTTAAACAAATGAGCTGATTTGCCTATATCTGAAATGTGTCTCGGGGCAATGCAGTGGCGCAGTACGTAGTGCTGTTGCCTCATAGCAAGAAGGTCACTGGGTCGCTGGTTCGAGCTTGGCTCAGTTGGTGTTTCTGTGTGGAGTTTGCATGTTCTCTCTGTGTTAGTGTGGGTTTCCTCCGGGTGCTCCAGTTTCCCCCACAGTCCAAACACATGCGGTACAGGGGAACTGATCAACTACACTGGCCGTAGTGTATGAGTGTGTGTGTGAATGAGTGTGTATGGGTGTTTCCTAGTATTGGGTTGCAGCTGGAAGGCCTTACATCACATAAAACATAAGCCAGAGTAGTTGTCGGTTCCTTCCACTGTGGTGACTCCTGATGTATCAGGGACACCCAAAGGAAAGCGAGTGAGTAAATGATGAGTGATCATCTGTGTGGCATCAAACGTACAGATTCAGCTAAAGCCTTCAGTGATGAATAAATGATGAGGTGTGGAAAGCAGCGGTTCCTTATGTTCCCTCCTCTAATCTGTGTGTGTGTGTGTGTGTGTGTGTGTGTGTGTGTGTGTGTGTGTGTGTGTGTGTGTGTGTGTACTAGTTTAGCTGTACATATGAGGGCTCAATTGTCTGCACTAATGTAGTGGAATTAGAAAATAATCCAGTAGTGTTGGGATTTAATTTGAATTGAGACATCACTGATGATGAAGGTGATCCATCACTCAGAGCATGCTGCACCAGTGTCTGATGACTGTCAGATGAGTGTGTGAGCGCTGCTGCTCTACAGGCTGAATTAGGCCAGATATCACACCTTAACCTGATATAAAACAATGGAAGTCGACATAATGTCCTCACTAGGATAGGAAAACTAACCTGTGTGTGTGTGTGTGTGTGTGTGGCCTTTGATCTGCTCTGATACACTCAAACATGATTCTCACAGTGTGTCACAGCAGGTCATATGCTGTCTGCTGCTCACTGCCTTTCATGTCTGTGTGTGTGAGTGTGTGTGTGCGAGTGTGTGTGTGTGTGTGTGTGTGTGTTTGACTGTGTGTTAGTGTGAGAGAGAGTGTACCTTGCATTCCTTACATTGTGGGGACTAAATGTGCGCTCACCTACAGCAATACCAGTAATTTTGAGCATGTGAGGAGATTTTCTTTGGTCTCCATGAGGAAAAGGTGTGTGTGTGTGTGTGTGTGTTTGTGTGTGTTATCTAGTGTCTGTGTGAAAGTATGTGTATGTGGGTGTCTGTGTTGTTTGTGTGTTGTTAGTGTGTGTGTGCGCCTGTGATTGTATATTAGTGTTTTTGTGGGTATGTGTATGCATTTGAGGCAATGCAGTGGGTAGCATGATCGCCTTACAGCAAGAAGGTCTCTGGTTTGAGTCTCGGCTGGGTCAGTTGGTCTCTGTGTGGAGTTTGCATGTTCTCCCCGTGTTGGCGTGGGTTTCCTCCGGGTGCTCCGGTTTCCCCCAAAGTCCAAACACATGCGCTACAGGGGAACTGATCAACTACACTGGCCGTAGTGTATGAGTGTGTGTGTGTGTGTGTGTGTGTGTGTGTGTGTGTGTGTGTGTTTTTGTGTGTGTGTGTGTGTGTGTGTGTGTGTGTATATGACAGCATATGTGTGTATGAGTTTGTGTGTGCGTTAGTATGCATGTGTGTATGATGTGATAGTGTGTGTGTGTGTATGTGAGCGTGTGAAGGGCCCCAGGCTGTGTGTGAATGAATGTGTACTGGGTTGCAACTGGAAGGGCATCCGCTGCGTAAAACATATGCTGGATAAGTTGTCGGTTCATCCCACTGTGTGACCC